CATCATTGTTGTTTGGCGGGCCCGGGCTGGGGATTCGAACCTGCCACCTTAGGTGTACGTGGCTGGCGCCTTAGCCGCTTGAGCCACAGGCGCCGAGCCCAAAGATGTGTCTTTGAACCATTTTTTTCCCTTCATCCAGGATGGGCATTGCATTTAATAATCCTGTCTCTTTGGTCTTCTCCACCCTCTTTTTGTCTTTCTGAATATTGATTTTTTTTTGTTTGTTTTTTGTTTTGAAAGAGTCTCACTTTATAGTCCTCCGTAGAGTACTGTGACATCACAGCTCACAGCATTCTCAAACTCTTGGACTCAACTGATTCTTTTGTCTCAGCCTCCAGACTAGCGGGGACTATAGGCACCCGCCACAACGCCTGGCTATTTTCAGAGACGGAGTCTTGCTCTAGCTCAGAGCGGGTCTCGTGCTCCCGCCTAGGCCATCCACTGTGCTGGGATTACAGTTGTGAGCCATCATGCCCAGCCTGAGAATATTGATGGTTTTGAAGAGAGCTCATTCATAGCAAAGATGTATTGGAGACAAACTTGAGAGTAGGGATTGTCTATTTTGTTTTTGTGTTCTCAACCCCTAGAGCACAGCCTGCCTGTCATAGACAATAAATAGGGGGTGGCGCCTGTGGCTCAAGGAGTAGGGCACCAGCTCCATCTACCAGGGGCAGCAGGTTCAAGCCTGGCCCTCGCCAAAAACTGCAAAAAAAAAAAAAGACAATAATTAGGTACTGATGAAGTGAAATTGCAAAGATGGAGAAATTTGACCCTCAACTGTGGTGAGCCAATAGCCGATCTCACCATCTATTTAACCAACCATTCTTGGCACTAGGTGGACAGCAGTAAACCAAATTGACAGAGTCCTCCTGCCCTTGAGGAATTTAGAGTCTAGTGATTTAGCCTCCAAGTACAGTGATGTCTACAGCACTGAAGAGGACCAGGAGGTGTGTGTAGGAGAGGAACAGAAAACATCCTGGAGCCAAGAGCATTCAGGATCCTTGTCCTATAACCCCACCCTAACCTAAAACATGACCTCGATCCAGTGAGGATCAAATGCCTGTTGTCCCAGCTAACTTAGGCAGCTGAGGCAAGAGGATCATTTGAGCTGAGGACTTCAAAGCTATAATAGCTGTAAATAGCCATTAAACTCCAGGCTGGGCAACATAGTGAGACACTGCCTCTTAAAAAAAAAAAAAAAAGATCTAGGAAGGTCTTCACACTGCTTATGTTTATGGTTCTTTACCTCCTCTTTCCTGAGGCCTCAATTTAGTCAAGTCTTGTGATACCTGAAGCTAAGGAAAGTAGATGCCTTTCTCATTTGCTGGGCCTCTATCTCGGGGTTCTCGACTTGTGTTTTTTGCAGTTCCTCCCTACCTTGCTTATTCAGTGAACCTTTGCTGTTAGATTATTTGTTGTCTTAGTTTCAGGTGTTTCCATGACTAGTTCAGCTGTCTTCAGCACAGAGACAGAGCATACTCAGGGGCTCCACAGAAGCTTACTGGCAGGTGACTGAGACTGTTGCTTACCTTGTTTTGCTTCTGTCTTGAGGAGGTGTCCTCAAACTACGGCCTGTGGACCACATGCAGCCGGCCTAGGATATTTATCCGGCCTGCCGGGTGTTTTTGTCGCTGCTGCCTGTCCTGCTTAACAGCCAACTCGTCCCGCGGCCCACAGTCCAGCCCTCCAATGGTCTAAGGGACAGTCAACTAGCCCCCTGTTTAAAAAGTTTGAGGAACCCTCGTCCTGAGGTTCTTCCTTCTCTCTGTTTTACTCCTTGGCATGGGGAAGCTGAGGAGCAATGAGGGCCCTGCTGCAGTGGGCCGCCAGACTGCCAGATTAGGAGGGTCAGGTGCACCCTGATGAGCCTTCCCTTGTCTCACCCTGTAGTTTTGTTCTCTGTGACATGCAGGCCTGGAGCTGTCAGGAGCTTGCAAGAGAGACATAGGATCCTGTTGTATTTTCTCAGTAAACTGCCTGAAGGACAAAAATCCTCTGTTTTTTTTTTTTTTCATTGTGTTCCCCAAGCACCTAGCATGTACCCTTGCTCAGTGGGCACTGTCCAGATAGTTGTGGAATGAATGAAGTCACAGAGATGTTTGGCAAGCACCAGTTTGATTTCTTTCCCTGCTGACCTGCCATCATAATTCCTTATCTTTACTTGACCTAAATCATAACCATTAACAAGGAAGTAATGTTGCTACAAGTCACACTCCAGAGGGTCTCATTAAATTTATTAGTATGCTTGAAAAGTCACTCAGCCATTATGGAAAATGCTGAAGGAATTAGGCTGAGCAGATTCTCCTTGGTCTTAATTTTTTTTTTTTTTTGAGACAGAATCTTACTCTGTTGCCCTTGGTAGGGTGCTGTGATATCATAACTCACAGTAACCTTAAACTCTTGGGATCAAGTGATCCTCTTGCCTTTGCCTCCTGAGTAGCTGGGAGGCTTGCCCATCACAACACCCCCCTATTTGTCTTTATTTCATTTATTTATTTGAGACAGAGTCTAACTTTGTTGCCCTCAGTAGAGTGCTGTGGCGTCATGGCTCACAGCAACCTCCAACTCTTGGGCTCAAGCAATTCTCTTGTCTCAGCCTCGCTGGTGGCTGAGACGACAGGGGCTTGCCAGAACACCTGGCTATCTTTAGTAGAGATAGGGTCTCACTGTTTCTCAGTCTGGTCTCAAACCTGTGAGCTGAGGCAATCCACCCATCTTGGCTTCTCAGGGTATTAGGATTACAGACATGAGCCACTGGGCCTTGCTTGGGCTTAAATTTTTAAAAATGCTAAAGTTCATATTTGCAGACTTACCTATGAAGTATTTTGATTTTTTTCCCCCAGAGGCTAAAGGCAGCAGTTCACTATACTGTAGGTCGTCTGTGTGAGGAAGTTGCAGTGGACAAAGAGATGCAGTTCAGCAAACAGACCATTGCAGCGATTTCGGAGATGACCTTTCGGCAGTGTGGTATGAATCCTCGGTCCTTCTATCTATGTGTAAACCTCAAAGGCTGCTTTCGCTTGGGAGCAGTGTGTAGGTGGGAACTGTGCAGTGTCTGACCAGCAGACAGAGAACATTGTCAGCATTGTGCTTTCCTCATGAAACACCTCTTTTTCTTGGCTGGAAAATTTGGATATTTTATGGGAAGAACTGTTGGGGTTTTTTTCTATTATGCTAATATTGGGACCCTGACACGATTATTTTGTTGTGCTTGAAGCTGCCCTGACGGCTGGAACATTAGACATTACATTCTTTATTCCAGTGGCTTGCAACATTTTTGTATCTCCCCTACTTTATTTGATAGCTGAACTTGGGGCATTGATGTTTGCTTGACTTTAGAGGAAATGAATGTCTTTATAAGCCCTAACTGAAGAATTTAAAGTTAAAGGATAGTTTCTGGAAGCCAGAGGTATAGTCACAATTAATGGAAGGCCTATAATAGATGGTAGAGAGCTCTGAGAAGGACAAGGAGGTCATAATGAATAAAAAAGCTAACAGCTATTACAAAATGGCAGGGCTGCCGGAGGATCCCCTCCCGCCTTTAGCAGGGTTTGTTGTATTAGTCATGGTGCTGACTGTAGAAATCGGTACTGGGGTAAGGGTAGCTAAAGTGTATGTCTTTTTTTTTTTTTTCCAGAAAATTTTGCCAAAGACCTTGAAATGTTTGCAAGGTGGGTAGAGACCTTGAACATCTGATGCTGTGTCTGTTTACATTCTTTTGAGACTCTCCATCTGGTGGTATATTTCAGGAGAGCGTTAGTTATTCACTTTTTTGTATATTTTGTGGAGGCTTGTCTCTAATCATGACTCTGCAAGAACATAACATCTACTTTAATCATGTCGATTCAGACTTATTTGTGCATTTTTTGAAGTCTTCCAAGTGTTTTTCGTTAAAGGACCCAAGTCATTCATTTCCAGGTTAAAAAAGATACGAATAATCTCCAAAAGTCTGAGTATAAGTGGTGAGTGCCTGTTTTAAAACCCACAACTTCAGGAGGGCTTGATGGCTCAGGGTCTGAGATGCAGCGTCTGGGGGTGGCTGCCCCTCTGCAGAGGGGGCCATTTTGTGTTCTGCCCGGTAATTGCTTGCAGGTGGACAGATAATGACAGGCAGAGGCTTTCATTTGCTGCATTTGTCACAAGTAAGACACACTCCTTGGAAAGTGGGTGACTTGCTTTCAGCTGGTAAAGCTCTGGCTTTTACAGGTGATTTACGCTCCTCTCTTCAATTAGTACCTCAGGTAATTGAAAACAATTGCAATGAATTGCTTTTATGAAGCAATTTGAATGACTAAGGCCTGAAAGGGCTAAAGCTTTCTAATTTGCTGCCACTTCCATTCAGTGCCAGCCTCTCCCACACCCCGTGCTTTTCACCTTGCTCCCCTGAGCTCTTTGTTTCTCAGATGCATGGTTTGAATGAATTAAAGCAGTAGGTTCTCAGAGGGCAGGCTCTAAATCTTTCCTATTCCTGTATATATTAGTGCCTAAAAACTACTTAGCATCTCCAGCCTGGCCAGAAGGGATAAGACAGTATTGTAGGCGGCTAGACGGCTCTGTGGCTCATTTCACTGAATTCAGGCAGTTGCCCCTCATGTGTTGCCCTCCCCCATAAAATATATTTATCACCTTTACTTGCCATTTCTGTGTTAGCTGTGGGACGAGACAATGGGAAATTTAAAATTCTTTTGTAAAAATGTAGAAACAAAATGAAATTAGAAACTTTTAGTTTAGTAACACTTAAGCTTTCAGGTATTCTGTGTCTTTCATAATTACGTACAAGGTTGATTTGCCTTCTGCTGGGTACTGAGAGGTGAAGTTGGGGGGTGGGTAATGAGACAGACTGTCAGCTCTGTAAGGAAGGACATCAGCTTATATGTAAGAGAGTTTGTGGACAGGCTGTCAGCTGCGGTTCTCTAAGATGGCACTCCAGAGATGTCCTTTACTGTAAGAGATGGCTCATCTTCAGCAGTGTCCAGGTGTGTCCAGTGCTCCCGAGGCTGCCTCTGAGCACCTGGGCCAGTGCAGAGCCCAGTTATGAGGTCCTTGTGGGTTTGGGCAGTGCCCTTCTTCCTGGGCCATGTCTACACACGTAGAGCTTCTTTGAAGACTCATTCTTTGTGTGAATTTTACATTTATTTTCATGATATTTCAGTTTGGCTGCCTACAAAAAAGTGTTGTTTTAACATTTATCCCTCAATAGTGATATTCCCAGAAGGTCTTGCTTTGGTTATCCCCGTGGCTTTGAATTGTCCCTGTCATATTTTCTCTACTCCTATGACTATTATTATAACCCCAATCTGAGAAATCCAAAATACGCAGTATTTCAGGTCTTTATAGACTGTCCTGGGAGCCTAACCAGTATTTATAATATTGTTTGTTTCTGCTTCCCTTTTTTCTTTTCTTTTCTTTCTTTTCTTTTTTTTTTTTTTTTTTTTTTGAGACAGAGTCTCAGTTTGTTGCCCTCACCCTGGGTCGAGTGCTGTGGCATCATAGCTCACAGCAACCTCAAACTCTTCGGCTCAAGTGATCCTCTTGCTTCAGCTTCCCTAGTAGCTGGGACTACAGGTGCCCACCGCAACTCCTGGCTGTTGGTTTTTCAAAAATGGGGTCTTGCTCTTGCTTAGCCTGGTGTAGAACTCTGAGCTCAAGCAATCTGCCGCCCAGAGTGCTAGGATTACAGATGTGAGTTACAGAGCCTGGCTATAACATTGTTTCTATAAGAAAATGAATTTAAATTCCAAATAATCAACCCACACAAACTTTGGAAAACCAGTTCCCAATTTAAGTTGTGAATTTCCTTTATTTAGCTTTGAAATCTCCAGTCTCCTAATATTGTTAATTTTGAAGAAGATAGATATTCTATAGTAAATAAATTCTAGGAACACTTGGGAATAGTCTTTAAGATTTGTGTTGCCAAGAGTGTTACATGCAAAAGTGCTTTGTTACTTCCCCTACAGTAATTTTCTGTAGTCCGAGGTTTAACTCAGGATAGAGTAGGATATACCTCCCTTCCATCTAGGAAAGTGGCACAGATACCAGAGGCCATGCTGAGTGTTTGAGAGGATTAAGAGAGTTACTTTTTAGATAATTCGTTGTGAACATGAAAGCTAAGCTCACTCTTGTCAACAGTTCAGTATGCTTATTCCCTTTACTTTTAGAAGGATATAAATGTAGTTCACAGCCAGGTTGTGTGTTGAGACTGGGCCACACTGTGTACACAGGCATGTAGCATCCTTCACCCAGAACGTCTAGAGAGGGCTTTGTACCTTGTGGCTGCTATTATATCATCATCCACCTGACTTCTTTTCTTTTCCTCTATCCTGGTCCTAGGTTGTTAATTAGAAGTTATCTCTTGATGTGCAGATATTAGGGTTGTTATCTCATGACAAGCAGATATAGTCAATCATGATGGGATGACACATGGTATTTGTGCATCTAGTAGAATGTGAAGGATTAATTTGACCAAATTAGGGGGTATAATTTCTGTGCAATTGTATTTTTTTAACTCAGCAGGTACTCAGTGAGGACTAGTAGGTATGCTGGCCACTTTGCTCATTGTTAAGGATACAAAGATTCCTAGTTCTGTTTAAAAAGTTTTTTTTTGAGGCAGTCTCACTGTGGTGTTCTCAGTAGAGTGCCCTGGCGTTATAGCTCACAACAACCTCAAACTCTTGGGCTCAAGTGATTCAAGTGATTCTCTGGTCTTCACTCGGTGGTTTTTTTTTTTTTTAGAGACGGGGTCTTGCTCTTGTTCAGGTTGGTCTCCAACTCCTGAGCTCAAGCAATCCACCCATCTTGGTCTCCCAAAGTGCTAGGATTATACGTGTGAGCCACCGTGCGCAGCCTGTTTACAAAGTTTTTCTTTAATTTGGGTGAGGGGAAGTTAGAAATGGCAAGAGTGGCTCGGCGCCTATGGCTCAACCGGCTGAGGCGCCAGCCATGTACACCTAAGGTGGCGGGTTC